CCTATTAATAATTAAATCTTTCATTAAAGTTAGCGCTCTGTCCACAACTCGCGATAAATATCGCCAGGCTGTGTCTTATACTCCAGACCTGATAGAGCGAAATGGAGTTTAGATTTCTAAGTAGAATCACAAATGTGCCGTAAAATGTGCTGCCGTTCCAATGTAAAAGGTATGTAAACCAGAGTTATCGATGATCGCTGAAATGCAACTTAATATGTTGTTCCTGTTCAGGAGTAATTATCCTATCGGAAGTTACGTTAAACTTGCAAGCGTTGCTAATAGTTTAAGTAAGGTTTGCTTGCATTAACTGACACTAATTTTTGTGAAAAGGTACCTACCTTCAGATAACCAGGTGATGCATCTATTTTTCTTTAAACAGTGAAAACTTACAATTATCTCGATATCCATTTCAGTTATATTTTAAGTCGTAAGGCCCAATGACTATCTGTAGATCAATTAATGTGTTTTCCAGTCGACTGTCGTGAAATGCATTTAATCCTTCTATTTAATCTGAAGCAGTGCTTTGTGGCATTATTGGCCACAGACTTTCAATAAATTCGTTGGATCATAGATACCCCAAGTTGGACTGAGATGGTATCCCATTGTTGATGTGTAGTTAGGCTTACTCTCTAAATACAATCGTTACCATGTGGCTTGATGCACAATAGTCAGTAGTCTGTAAGGTATTTAAAATGTTGGCGTACCAGAACGCCTGAGAACTAGCATGACTACACTTACTGAATCAATACTATCTTGAAGAATTCCCAGATGTTCATTATTCGGCAGATTACGGTCGGAATTGACTGTGTACACAACTCATTTAATGGTATCTATCAACGAGACTGCGCCTAAACGTGCCGTGTGATCGCTGATCAAATGAAGCTTGCCAGGCCATCATACATTTAGAACAATGGGACAATGCAATTAGCCGACAGAAAATAACAAAACCGAAAAGAGTTTACGCACTTGATTTTATAACTAAGCCGCCTTACCACTAAGCGTTCAACCTAGATAACAACCATGTGCTTCCTGGCCTACTGAGGTTCAAGAACATCAGTAGTGCGCCATCAGCGTGTACTTTTATGAGTTCTGTTGGCTGAACCCTCTGCTCCAGATTGGGGTTAATGCTGTACCTTCTTTTCTCTTCTCAGCGCGAAGGAAATGAATGTCCTGACGCCGGTGAGTTTGAGCTTTTTGTTAATTGAGATTTCAGTATCAGAGGAACCCCGATTGCAAACTCGACAGTCCTGTTTGAAAATATGAATAAAATTAGTCTACGACATGACATGGCTGGATTAAAACAGTAAAAACTGCCCATATTATTAGAAAACTACGATGAGCTACCAGACTCTAATCAGTAGTAGATCTGGTGTCATTTTTCTCCAATACTACATCAACATTACTAAGTACAACCGAATAAGGCTGACATCCGAGCAGAAACCATTATTGACTCTGATTCCACCGCTCATAACGCAGTCCATGCGCTCAACTTATAATAATCGCCTGGAGGACTGAGCACACATATTATTATAATAATAAAGTATATTTTCTCATGGTATCGAGAAACTGAGCCCACAATGGGACCGATCCTATTTACATTGCAACATGCTCAGGCATGCGTGCCTGAGAATGGTTTGCATTTTACGGGGTTACGAGGGGATATTTTTTGCGATTATTTTCATTTGTGACTTTTGTCTCCGTATGCTACCAGTTCGCGGGCATTCGCATTTGGTTGTTTTCGGTGCAGCTTGGTGGTGCCATGATGGCGGCGGTTTGTTGGGTGGGGGGAGGTGTATGAAAAGGATGATGCAGTTAGAGTTAAATAATTAGTCAACAAATCTTTCATCTGTCGATAGTGCGAAAGACTGTTATTGTTTTAGTACAGATCAACCCATACGTTGTGCTGATGGGTAGGGGATTTTTGATGCCATCAACTGATGGTACGTCGCAGTAACTTCCAAATTAGCTAATCCTCCACAGCTGCGGAAAAGAAATGAACGGACATTTCGTTCCATCGGGACCCGTCAGTAGTGTGCACACATCGGTCTCATCAGGGCACAAACCCACTGGCGGCTTGCACCGCTAACCAATACCTTATGGATGACTGTGACTTGAAATCAACTGCGAGGGACAAAACATTATCAAAGTCCCCTGCTGACGAGTATATCAGTATTTTCGTCCTATCGGTTTCTAAATGCCATAGCGTGCATAGCTGCTGTTAGTGAGAGGTGTGACTCTTGGGACCAACACTCCCCTCTGCAACGTTTGTAACCTGCATGGCAATGGAGGATGACTTGGCGTATGTCGCAGTCAACTTGTAAGTTAGGACGGTCGGCCGCCATATCTAGTTGCCTGGTGACATAAGCGGTTGACCAGTAGTTCATCATGCTAGAGGTGACTGGTCCTCCTTCTGATGGAGCCGATAGATGCGCGCACTACTGATTAGTGCCGATAGGACGAAACGGCTATGTGGAGGACTGTCCGACTTGGGAATCACTAAGAAAACCCTCAAGTAATATACCAAGTTGGAGTTTTGAAATTTGGGCGGACACCGACAAGTGGAATAATGCACAAATGATGTAAGACCTTCATTATCTGTTTACACTGAGCTCACACGTTGTCTGAGATAGGGCTGAAGCGAGGGCATTTCGCTGATTGAAGCCGAAATGAACACGAGTAGTTATACGTGTTATGCAAAATTCAAGGCACATGGCAATGTGATATATAAGTCACATAGTCGTGGGCCAAAGAGCAAACACAGCGAGGCATTCTGTAACTGGATTCTTCAATCTTTTCTTAGGTATTTCATGCATCAAGTTATTTCTAGCGGTTAATTGTCATTGTTTCCTTAATGCGAACGTTCCGCACTAAATGCCTTTACATCTTATCGCTTCCAAAACTACATAGATTTAATCCCACTGAATACAGTAAATAAGGAACAAACAATCAATTAGCTGAAGCATGGCGGGCTCAAAGCATTGTCTCCAATGAGATCACGTGTCTTGTTCCCTTGATCACATCTGAATATGTAGATAGTATGGATTAATCAAAGCTATCTGGTGTCTCGTTTTCCCGATTGCTTACATACATCCACGTATATGGAATGTTGCTGCTCCATCTACAACTTCAGACCTATGTTTCAGAGCTGGACTGGAACGTGGACTTCAGCTAAGGGGATGACTTAAGGAGAAGGCGGTTTGTGGCGGCTTTATGTTCTGACAAATTGTGAGACGTGTGCATCGGATAGGCACGACTTTTGCACACCCGCCAGCATTCCGTTAGCATGTATATCGTACATTGCAGATAACTAGTCGTGACCCTATCACCTGAGCGCGACAAAATGCAGAGCCGGGGAGAAACTGATTTAATCTGCGAGCTTTTTATTCACGCGGATTCGTACCGTCTTCATTTCAACCCGGCGGCATATGTATTTCAAACACTGTGAGCAGAAGCTGTATGCCATGTACCGCAATCCAAATACAGTTTGAGAAATGCGATGTTATTGCGGCTGCGCTCTGTGCTCGACGAGCAACGGGTGACGATCTGCTGCCCTTCCAAAACCGGGTTGAAAACACCGAAGACATGGGCACCTTGTCAGTGATCGTTTCAGGAGTAAACATCGACCACGAGGCAACATGTGGAGCATCAAATCTCAGATATTTGACCACTGGTATTGCTGATGCACCAATTCAAACGTTTTACTTCGCCTGAAACAAGAGCATGCACGACTCTAATATCTTAAACTTCCAGCATATTTTACATCAAACAGCGAATGCTGAACAACTGACAAGCCATACCACTAGAATATTTTCACAACCCGTAGCATCACCGGGATCATACAAAGTCATCCCACGAACTGCACTTGACCGTTTCACCGACATTCATGGCTATCTACACAAATCCCAAAAGTCACCCTAAATAACGTCCAGCACTCATTCACAAAAATAATCCCTGGGCGTTCATCATCAGTTAACTTTGGGAGAAGGGAGATTTGACCTCTTGTTGAGCACTTTGGCTGCGGTGCCTAACGAATAATATTGCATCTCTTTGTGGGTACTCACAACAAGCACAGTCTTTGTACTATGAAATGATTCAACATTGTAATCTCGTACTTGAGGCACCTGACCTAGTTGCAGAACGCTAAGTATTAAAGCTGTCTTAAGTTGTTCCTGCCAAAGTATGCATCTTGAAAATCGGGAATAAATATCTATTTATCTAAGTATTAAGTTGACGCAAAGACAAGAAAGTGTTTTACTTTGAAACGCATTCATAAGTCTTCCTATCTAGATCTCATGTGATCAAGCTTTTGGCCACAAACAGCTTGAGAATAAACAATGAACAATGATTTATAACGGGTAAAAAAGCAGGTGTTCGACATTTCCCGTGGGTTGGTTAGAGTGAGAAAAGATAGATCAAAGCATACTGGAATCGTCGGTTCGGCCGATTACAGGTTTAACTGCACTGCTGTATAAAGGGAGTTTGAAGTTAGAATGTGCTCACACAAAGCCATAATGCGAGTGGTTATTGATCAAGTAATAATGAGAAAAAAGAAAAAGTAGCAAGGACAACGCTTTCTCTTGTGCAGCTATCTCGGGTCCACGGGATACAAACACCCAGTTTCTACATTAGTAGCGTTTATCAAATTGTTTGCAATGGGTTTGGAGCGGCTCATTCTCGAGTAGAGTTATGGCACCATCCAATGTCTGTTGTGCATTAGTGCCAGCATCTGGTGGTCATGGGCTATAGCACGTAGTGTAAATATGACAGAGCATCGTCAAAGTGTTTTTTGAAAAGGGATAGGGTTGGAGCATTAATTACATTTTCTGGGAAGGCGTTTCAAGGCTGACACTCGAAGGGAGAAAAAGTTTCGCCGACATTCCGGGCGGCTGTACTGCGTGACTAAGTTAAACTGGTGACCTCTTAGTGAGGTGTTTTGACTGAGTATTAGAAGGGAATGGCGTGGGTGGTTAAAGTTTCTCAGGATCTGGTACACCGTTATGAGATCGCCCCTTAGACGCCGATAACGTCCACTATGGGTTTCCAGTCTTCAGCCTGAGGGGTAGCGGAGGCTGGTCAAACCACTGACGCTCTTCGTTGCCCTACGTTGTGCAGTATCCAGCACGGTGAGATGGTGCTTGAACCAGGGTTGCCACTCTTGATTAGCTTATTCCGCGTGCGGCCTCACGTACGCACTAAGCAATTTGGAAAGACTGAAGGGTCAAACTTTCCGAAAGCTCTGCGAAAAAATCCGAGATGCTGGTTTACTTCCTTAGATGCCTTTTCAGTCTTCCTCAAACAACCAAGGTCATCTTGAACTATCACGCCGAGATCGCACACGTGAGAAGCCCGCTGTAGAATTTGTGGTCCTAGGCGGTATTTGTGTATACTCTTGTGCCGTATACTGAGAACTTTGCACTTGGTGACGTTGCAATGCAGCATGTTCTCGATGGACCATGTGTACGCTTTGTCCAGGTCCTCCTGTAACACTGTGTGATCTTCCACTGCAGCTATATTACGCCATACCTTTAGATCATCAGCAAATAGCAAACAGTTAGAAGATAGCACGCTCGCGAGATCATTTACAAAAGCCATGAACAGGGGGGTCCAAACACCGAGTCCTGAGGTATGCCGCACCGAATTTCCATGGATTCCGATAGGCTGCTTCTAACCCTCACATTCAGATGACGTTACACGAGTAAGTCTTCTATTCAGCCCAGAACGGGATGGCCGATTCCATAATTCTGGAGTTTGTAGAGGAGAATGCGATGGTCTAGACGGTCGAATGCCTTTGAGAAATCCAGGTAGGCCGTGTCGACTCCTACACCAGCGTCCACAGATTCCGTCCAGCTTGCTCGAGCAATCAACAGATTAGTGGTACAGCACCGATTTTGGCGAAATCTGTACTGCTCCGGAACGAGCATTTTGTTGTGCTCCAGGTGCCCCATCAAAGCTTCAGTTCCAGTGGACTCCATAAGCTTGGAGATCACAAGAAATCGTGTGACCGGATGATAATTTGCTGGTTCAGTACGACTGCCACTTTTGTGGATTGGCGTGATAATCCCGTGCTTCTACATCGTTGGGACGTGCATTTCCTTTAGACATCGTTGAAAGAGTATTGCTAGTGGCGCCGCCAAACTCATGGCAGCAACTTTCAACGCCTTCGAGCGAATGCCGTCCGC